CATATCGTCCACGGGGCGTACACTAAACACTCTAGACAAGTGAGGAGAAAACCCTCACTCATCATTTTAAGGCCTGGCACACAACGTTCATCATTTTTATTAAAGGTGTTAGCATTATTTTGAAATGAGAAGAGAGAAAGACGCACGAAAGGTCTAAGGGAAACTTGTTCTTAACATTGTCATGCAAAGTGACCCTAAGGCCGGGATGCGAAAGGAAATTCTATCCTAATGTTAGCATGCAAAATTCTATCCTAATGTTAGCTAGCCTAGACCTCCTAGACCTTAACAAAATTAGATTACACCGTCATGCGTGTCAAAAGTGGAATCTTTCGGGTGGCATTATCAAGGTTGACACTTTACATTTCTCAGGACAGGTCCCTCTAGCTCCCCGCGGGCACATCCTCATTGAAAGTGCACAAGATATTATCCAAGCAGAAGCCTCGTTGACTGGACCTTTCTTTACCTTGAGCGTAAGTCTGGTCTACGTAAAACATCCCTTTCACGACCATATTCTCGCATCCCAAGGAAAACCACAAGCAATCGACGGACGACCATACTAATCATAGACAATTGACGGGCATGTCTCCAAAGACATTCGTTCAAATAATGACGACCTCAAAAAGCCTCCCCAAGACGCATTTCCTGACCATCAGTCGACCAACAAGGCTAACTCAAGTCATTACTCCTCACCTCAGAGCAACGACTTAGGGGCTCCTGTTCTGGACTGGACTGTCACATGGCCCACAGTTGGGCAAGGCCCAATCCTGTTCAACTTTAAGCAAAGCTCAATAAGAAGATTAAGACAATCTAACCATTAGGCACAATATAGTCGTTGGGGATATCCCCCTCACGCGCTTGACAGTTTACGCGACCAACTGACCCTCCGGAGTTCACGGGGACAGTTGGACTAGATCAAAGATCACGCGCTATGTAACACCCCCTTCTACACCCCCAAATAAATCAAATAAATCAATTAAACACATATTAAAATTTCATCAGAGTAAAATTAAAACATGGTATAAAACGAGCATGTCACACAATACGTGAAATAAAACATACAACACCTGCTCAATAGAGATATGCAACAATGGGGTAGCTTCAACAGAGGAACTTAGTCCTTACACCCACATCTCAATATTTAGAATGAAAAGTGGAAAATCTAAACATTGAGTCATTTCAAACATGTAATCACATAAATACATATTATCCAGTTTGATTCACCATATCATTCATGTTTACATAAACATTTGTCAACAGATACATATACAAAATGTATCCCAAAAGAATATTATACAATCCTAAGTACCCGGTGCTACATATCAGAGCTAATCGACCAAAAGAATGAAGCTATACTTCCCAAAAGACCTCCAGCAACCTAATCTGCAATGCCTCATAGAGCATTATAAAATAGCAGAAGGGTAAGAAACATTATCATAATAATCAATACATATAATTATATATATATATATATATATATATATATATATATATATATATATATAATATATATATATATATATATATATATATATATATATATATATATATATATATATATATATATATATATATATATATATATATATATATATATATATATATATATATATATATAGACACACACACACACACACACACACACACACACAATCATAGGATACACATATTCCGCATTTCTCCCCATAATTCATTATCACCATCACATACATCATAATATATGTATATATAAACAAATATGGAATAATCACCAAGCATATTTATCATGTGCACATCCATAATTCTCATCAATTCACATAACATACACATATGCATACATTCACACAACATTTATCTCTATGCCATGTGACTCAATGCAACTCATGTCATGTGGTACTAACACTTGTTATCATTTTTCAGTTTTTACATTTAAACCGGGTCTGTTCCCTAGACCGATAACAAAAGCCCATTCCCTAAGCTTTCAAACCCCGCTCTAGGTTTGGGACAAGTCACTAGCCTCCACGAGACTAGCGAGCATTGCCTCTTGACACAAATGATACGTATGCAATCAACAATCATATGCACTTAAGACCGTTCTCGCATCTTAATCCCATGCATACTCAATAATTCATCACACAAGAATTATAACATGATTGCACACTCACACATCATATCAAAGTATTCATACTTTCAACATCATCACAATTATCAATCAATGCACACATAATCACAATATGTTCTCATGTATTACTCACAATATTGCATACAATCAATATGCATTCATAGCAATTATGCCCAAACGGCAACCGAACGCTCTAATTATTTAAGCCTCACTTACTTAAAATAATTAATCTCGATTAATCAGTAAAATTGGCTAAAAGTCGGTTAAAAATAATATTTCTTTTCACCAAGTTATAGAACATATTATTAGCTTCAGTTTGATATAAAGAACGACAAAATCCGATAAACGGTGAAGAAGTTATGAATTTTCAAAGTTTCAAAAAAAAATAATATTTCCTCACACTTACAGTGTTAACGGGTTAACGCATACCGTTAACCGGTTAACGGCTCCAAAAGCTCAGTTTTTGGCCATTTTTAATACCGTTAATCGGTTAACCCATAGTGTTAACCGGTTAACACCTGAAAAACTTGAAAAAACAAGCTACGGGTTTGTGCCCAAAACCCCCAAAAATCCGACCGATTTAATTATTTTCTCCCGATTAAATACCTACTCATCATTACCAATCATATAGTAACAATTTAGGATCATAAAACGCAAATTCTACAACTTCCGATTTTCATCCAAAATCTTAACCTCCAATTGTCCAAAAATGTCAAAACTCACAAATTCAACCAAATTCAATCAAACGAAATCCTATAATCACGGCTAAACATTACCCGACTAAACTACGCAATTTATTTCGAGTTTCATCCGCGAAAACATCGGTTTCTATCGATTTATCTCATTTTTGCCCTAAAAATGGAAATGAGTAAAAACTCTCCAACAAACACATACATAATCATACACATTGAGAGAATAATAAGATTTCACACCCTTACCTTGATTAAATCGAAGCTAGAAGTTGTTCTTGAGCTTTCCAAGCTTTTCCTTCTCTTTTCTCCTCTTCCTCTTTCTTTCTCTTCTTTTTCTCTTATGTTTCTATTCTTTCCTTTTTCCTTCCACTTTTCCTTATATGCTTTTCTATTCTATTTGCTTCCATCATATTTCTCCTCTCAAATATCTACCAATAATTCCAATAATTAAAATCATCCAAATAAATCCATTAATTAATATGAATAATTAATTATTAAAAATTGGGTTGTTACACGCTAGATCTTCCACCTAGCAGTCTCCCATTGGCCGACCAGATGTCTCGGCCACATGGGAGAACATGGCCCCGTGTTGGAGGATTCTTATAAATACCCTCCCTCTTGAGAGGTTCAGGTATTCAAATCATTCTAATTCATACCTAAACACTTGTACTTGCTCTCTCTCTCTAACCCAAACTTACTTTGGCATCAGAGTACCTTGCAGGTACACCCCCTCATCTCCTACAACCACTGTTGTTTCCCTACATTGAAGGCCACGACGATCCATTCTGATCACCCCAGATCAGAAATTTTTCTACGAAGAGTTCCTAGGTTTCTCGAGTGACCTTAACAAATCTAACTTTAGTTCTTCATCTTGAAGTAATGAGCGCGAGATTTCTCATTCCTCTTTCAATAAGCTTGGGAGATGACATGTAAAAATATTGATAGATTCAACCAGTAATGTGCTCGATTAAGTGCGTCGTGAAATAATAAAGTGTTTATTTGAGTAATATAGTGACAAAAAAATATAGTATTTTGTGTCAAAGTTATTGTCTTTTTTATAAGGGGTGACATGACTTTATAACCTATTAGTGATGAAGAAAACACGACTACGTATTACCATAATGGAGTGACACATGACATGTTTTACATACATACTTGTATAGGTATTCGTGGGTTGGGTTGGGTCTAATTTGATTAGATTTAATATCCGACTCAATCAATATTTTTTAGGTTGGGTTAAGTGTTCAACCCGTACTTTTAAGACTAAACCTAAACCAAACCAACCCGTTCATTAATGGGTTGGATTCATGGTTCATCCACTAAATATAATTTTTAAATTTTAAATAAAATATATCAATTTAATTAATACATTTATATTACAAAAATATTTAAAACATCATTAACTTTTAGTATTTAATTTGGATAAAATTTATTGGTTAATATATAAAAACTCTTTTACGATTCATATAAAGTTAGAAAAATATACAAATGGTGTAAAATATAATTTAAAAAATAAAATATATCTCTTTTTAAATAAATGAAGTTGATCTCTTAAATTTGATTTAGACTCAGACTTTTATAATTAATAAAAATCATAATTATATTAAAAAAGTATATGCACGATAAGAATTATGCTAAATAATTTATAAATAAAATAAAATAAAAATAGTGTGACATATCAATAGATTGAAATCGCGTGTTTGTGAATTTAAATTTCAAACTAGTTATCTAAACTAAATATCAATGAGTTTGAATGGATTGGTTCGAATTTAACTCGTTCATGATTGAGTTGGATAAAAATAAAAATTAAAAAAATAAATTTATGAGTTGACCCGTATCCATAAACACGCATGACCCGTTGTTTAAGAAGTTACAACCATAGATTTAACTCACGCATTTACATCACCCACATTCTTTTTGGGTGTTTAAGGACTTAAAACCATAAATTTAACTCACGCATTTTCATCACCCACATTCTTTTTGGGTGTTTAAGGACTTAAAACAATAAATTTAACTCACGCATTTTTTTGGTAACAGTCAACCGTTGTACGTGATCAGACATAAATGAAAGATAGTTTCCCCAAAAAATATTAAATAAAGATCATGGACATTTTCTAACAATGGTAACACATAGTTAACGCCAAGAAATAAATGACAATAGAAACAAGACAACCAAAAGATTCTTTAATTCTTCAGGACAAAAAGAGAAGTCAATGGACAGATACAGAACCATTGTGACCAGGAGGAGAAATCTTCTCCCCAGTTTCCTCTTCCTCCTTATTGTCCTCCTTCACAGCCAACACCATCAAAACCAACAGTAATGGATAGCTTAATGAAGTGAGAACCCAATTCACAATCAACTGTGACATTGGAGACACATTGTGGTTATCAATTTGCCATGCAACTGCAGCTCCAGCACTCTGTATCCCTTTATAGAATCCTGTATACCTGTCATGTCATATATGTGCAAACATTACAACTGCTCCTACTATTACATAGTTACTTTATTAGCATATTTTTATTCAGCAAATGGAATAGTTAATTTTATTAAATAATAGTAATAAAACAAAACAGAATCTGTTTGCATTATTACCTGCTAAGAATCTCGGAATCATTAGCCAATGCTCCAATGGACCAGTAAACCATACTTTGAAACATAGCATCCAACAACCCAAAACTGAAGTACAAAACAAAAGGACCAGCAAAACCAGAACCAGACTCCTTAAAATCCAATATCTCACCATGTCGATGTTTAATCTGATTGGCCACTGCACCACCCCAAATAGCAGATCCAAGAACAGCAACAACACAAATTCCCACAATCCCTCTCTTCTTTCTACTCTTAAAACTGAAATCCATAGTGTATCCAATCCCAATTGAACCCATCATCTGTGCTCCCCAATAAAACACATTGTTCAACCCTCTTGTTCTCAAATTAAACTCGGTCTTATTAACATGATTAAACTGATATGTATAGAAAAAATTACTAGACCAAGCAGCAGGAATCATGAGAAGCATCTTCCAATTGTAGAAGAGTTTCAAGATCTCCACACACTCAGTTGCAACATTTGAGTATAACATATTTGTACACTTTGTTCCATCATCACGAACAACTTTACTAGCTGGCAAAATAGTCAAAGACAAAACTGTTCCTAACGACATAAAAGCCATGAAACCTATGTAAGTTCCATCGTTAACAGTAGCAGCTTTATCACCGCTGTTATAATTAAGAATAAAAGGGATTAAACCACCGATAACACCACCCATGTTGAAGATACTCCAGAAAATTGAAATGTAAGTTCCTTTCCGATTCACCGGTGGGTAAGATGTCATAATAGCACCTTGTGCAGCCCATAGTAGACCGGCACCGATTCCAAGAACAGCACCGGCGACTATAGCAAAAGCTTGGTGTTGTTTATGATTGTAGTAGAGGAAAGAACCGGCGTAGAGGACATAGGTGGAACAACCTGCGAAAAGAGTTAAATGGGGTCCGAGGATGTTGTAGATTCCACCACCTAGGATTCCGAAAATGGCGAAGGTTGTATAGAGTGCGGTGAGGGCGTTGTTGGAAGCTGTAGCGTTGACCTGACCACCACCACCCATTCCAGAGAGAGCGTTGAACATTCCTGGACAACAAAAACAAACTAATCCAATGAGAATGATTTGTGCAAGAGGTGAATTGTATCTGAAAAGTGATGAACTTTTTGTGGTTTCGGATATTTGAGTTCCTGATTCTTCATTTTCAGCGTAACCCATTTGAGAAGAGGGATTGAGAATTGGGGATGAAGAATGAATGAAAGGGGGTGTGATTTAAGGAGTGGAAAATTGAGATTTGCCACAATAATGCGACAAATTTGCAGCAAATGCCCTTCGCAACGAGACAAATTTGAAGCGAATTGTAGAAATGCAATTGTTTGTCACTATCAAAGGGACCAAGTTATGGGCATGCAAGTCAAGCGTTCAATAGGTTTACGCAAAGGCTCTGATGAGGTTAAAAAGAGGAGTTGAAGTTAACTTTTTCAGTTTTTATGATGAATTTCAAAGATAACGTTAGATAGTGTGACACGGAAAAGTAAACCTCCCGGAGTATTCTTTGGAGTTGGACGCAGTTTTATCAATCATCAAAGCTTAACTTTTTTACATTATACATTTTTGTTAAAATAAACCTTTGCATTAAATTAAAATCATTTTTAGTTAAAGCTGAATGATATTTGGTTGGTAGTCAATGATCAGAAATAAGCAATAAATTAAAATTATTTCAATTAAAGAAAGTTTAATACTCAATTGGAAAAGCAGAATAATATAATTTATATTATATAAAAGCAGCAGAAAGATATAATTTGGTAGTGAATAATTGTTAACTATATACTACTATTTATAAAAGCAGCGGAAAGATATAATTTGGTAGTGAATAATTGTTAACTATATACTACTATTTATAAAAGCAGCGGAAATATATAATTTGGTAGTGAATAATTGTTAACTATATACTACTATTTATAAAAACAGCGGAAAAATATAATTTGGTAGTGAATAATTGTTAACTATATACTACTATTTATAAAAGCAGCGGAAAGATATAATTTGGTAGTGAATAATTGTTAATTATATACTACTATTCATAAAAGCAGCGGAAAGATATAATTTGGTTGATAGTGAATGAATTTTTTTATAACAGTGATTGTATTTAAAATTGAGTAGTAGGTGTACTCAAGACAAATACAAAAAGAAGAGAAAATAATGAAAATTAAGAGAGATATATTAAGCCTATAAGTAATGAGATCTTTAAACCAATCCTACGACTCAAAACCTAAAGACTTATACAATTTAGCTCCTAGCCACTCCCAAGCCAACTTCTTTACTAGGAGGACAATATCACATACACCTTTATGACTTCATTTAAAAAGAGTCTTTTTTTTTTAATCAAATAGACCAAACAACCTATAATTAAAATAAGATATGAAAATAATTTTTAATATTTCCAACATGTTTAGATATAAAGCAAATACTAAACCATCTAAACATTTTAATCCATATAACAACAACAACAACCGAATAGTGAATAAAAAAATGATTAATGTCTTCTGGTTGGGCAAAACATAAAGGACAAATAAGATTATGTGGTCCAAAAAGAATACCTCTTTTTGCCAAAGTATCCTTAGTTGTCAGCCTCCTAAGAATGAGCCACCACACAAAATACTTGATGTTGCTCGAAGCTACGAACTCCAAGAAAGAGCCAGGTCCTCGGACTGGCCTACATCCATCATAACATCATAAGCAGTCAGATCTGCCAAAGAACTATAAGTTGCTCGGACTGAGAAACACGCATGATCTCTCCACCAAACAACACAATTTGTTGAATGTGGATCAGGGGAGAAACAGGATACAAAATGATATAATTCTTCTAGTTGTAATTCAGCTTCTGCTGAAATGATACCTAAATCCCAAATCCACAAACAACCAGCCTATGATCACGAAAAAAATTAAACAGGGATGGAAATGTATCTAGAATAGTTCATCCATGTGGAGAATGTGAGGTATGTTTCAAATGAAGCCATGCTTATTATGGGGCGAGGATAATGCCTTAGTCATGCTAGAGGATTGATTGTAAACTATGTTCGTAACTAAATTTGTTGTGATCATTTTATAATGACTTTTGTACTACTTTTTGGTTGTGATTTGTTAGGCTATTGTTGTATTCCCCCTTTTTAGGGATTCAAGTGAACTTTTTATTTTTAAGTAAATTTGATTTTGAGAATTATGTTGTGTTTATATAAATTTGGGTGTTTATGTTTGTAGCGAGCGTTGGTCAGTATGACTTGTGATCGGGTGTAAACAAACTAACTGCAAGTGCATAGCCTATCGTGTAGTTTTAAAATATGTTGATTCCACAGAGACCAATAGTCAAAGATTATTGTTCCTAGTTGTTACAGTGTTTAGCTAAGGAAAATGAAATAGTTTAAAAGGAAGGAAATGAAATAAAGGATTTAAATAAAACAGATAAACAACAACGCTGAAATGTAATTCACATAAATTGACAGTGCTCTGATCATCTCCACTAAGATAGCTTACGGGCAATGTTTCCTACTTAGAAAAGAACTAATTTAACAGGAACTGTCGCTTTCTCGTATTCAGAACCGAACTTACTCTCTAAGTTATACTCTCCATTTGTCACTTATGGAAAGCGCTTACCGTGTTAAAGTAGTAAACTCACTTTTAAGAAATTAGACTTTTTACTTAACAGAAAAGTAATTTTGATTGGAAAGATTAACTTAAAAGAGTCACTCAGCTTTCGCTTGAGTACCGGATCCTAAGCCTATAAACGCGTCAGCAAATAGTTTTAGAACCTCCTTCTAGAAAAGCTAAAGTTTCCTAATTGGTTAACAAAGTGCTTTTGTGGTGTTTGTTAAGCAAAGATAAACCAATTTTAGTTTTCAGTGTCGGACAACTTTCGATCTTACCCGACTTTTTCACTGCATCACTTTCGTGAAGGCAGATTAAAATAATTTCAGAAAAATTGCATTTAAACGAAAACGGCCCACAAAGGTAATCCTAGGCCGACAACAAGTAGAGCCCCGTCTATTGACACTCCTCACATGCCCGTATAAAGTAAATTATCCGGAAATATTTAGGGAAAACAAAACATAAATAGTTTTAATTGCGGAAGTAAACATAATTGTGGATAAAGCAAAGTAATTAAGTCAGAGGGAACAAGTGCGATTAAATAAGGCAAGGAAAATAAAGGGCAAGACAAAATAAACTTAAATGATGAATAAATAAATAAACCTGCTCTGAACGGAGTCTTGGATCTGATACAAACTGCGATGCTAAAAGTAAATCTTGGCAGAAAGTAAACGATTGGAATAAATTGTTGCAGAAATAAAAGGTGCTCCAAAGTTGATATAGACTCAACCGACACTGTAATACCTCTCCGATGTGAAGAGAATATCACTTTACAAATTCGACGGTATAAGGGCTTAAGTTTGCACAGAGTTTGGATCGTTGAAAAATGGTATGAAAAGGGGCATTTATAGGAGTCCAAAACCCTAGAAAATACCTAGGAATTGCTTCAGCTTCGTGGAGAAAAAGTAGGAACCATTTGTGATTCCTTAGAGACCAAGCTTTGTTGGTTTGTAACAATTTAGGTATTCCAAAGGGTGGCGACCGCCACATCCTCATGGTGATTGCAATGCTCATAAAGTGGACATGACTAGGTCATCCCACTACTTGGTGCATGGACCACCCATGACACCCCTAGGATGAACGCCGTGGGGGTTTCCAGAGGTGCTTGTCTGCTCCATTTCCTCGTTTTTTGTCTGTTTTGCCTCGTTTCTTCACAAACAACTCCTAATTAGTGAATTTCCTGAAACAAAGTAAATAACTAGAATAATAGTAGAAAAATAAATTAAAAACAATAGGAAAACATGCGTAAATCAGGTCAAATAAATTATAGGTTTAGACATCATCAAACTCTCCCACACTTGAACCATTACTTTTCCTCAATTAAAATGTAAGTAAAATAGGAGAAATCAATAACTACTTTGTGCTTTGGAAGGGCTATACTTTAAACAAATCATATTGATAGGTACTAAGTCACTAAAATCAAAAGTATCATAATAACACATTATGTATTTCACGGTCATAAATCTCTCCCCTATACAAACCAATTTGAATCATATCATCATCCTCGGGCCTAAATTACCCATCCTTTTTCATTCGGGTACAATCACATTAAGCCCGTTATCTCATACTCGCATGGTGAACAAACCTGTTTGTGATCCCGATCCATTATCGTGTCAAAATTTTAACACTTTACGATATTTTTCAACTTGATATATAAGCACAATTTTTAAAGATTCCTCTACCATTGGGCTAAGCAATCGTGTGAGGGTTACCTAACTTAGAATGTGGATTCTCTTTTTGCATCGTTTGCTTTTTATCATTTTCTTATTCTTCCCTTTTTTTCTTTCTATATCACGGTATTATTCACCTATTTGCATCGGCTTATTCACTTAGCAGTACTTAGATGGTGATGACTGCTAGAATAAACTACTTAAGAATTAATTTAAAGATGAGAGCATAACGATTATCCAAATCGACCTCCATAGTCGAGAGATTTACGATGTTAAAATGATATTAATGTTTTAGGACTTTCCCAAATCTTTATAACGTGTCTAAATAGCACATAATTTCAAATCAAGTATTGTTTCTTTTTGCAAAAAAATTTGGCGTGGCTTAAGAAAAGGGAGAAAATATAATAGATAATAAAACTACACTTAAAGACTTGACAATACATGTAATGACTAGATAAAACAACGAAATAAAACAACGAAAATAAAATAAAGAAATAAATCTAACTAGAAAGCAATAAAACGCCTCTCCCACACTTAAATCAAACATTGTCCCCAATGTTTTAATCTAAGGTGAAAGAGAAATGATAGAACTTGTATGAATGCTACTGCGTGCTAAATCCTCTCTGATCCTGCTCTTGTTGTTCATGTCCTTGCTTACCATATTTGCTTCAGCGGCGCGCGTTTTGAGATGCCTTTATTTGTTGTAATTGATCTTTTCTGAAGTAGCTCATCATGTTTCCCATTCATGGAGGAAGTACCTGCAAAAGTGTTAGAAAAATATGGTATGGTGTGTGTGGATGGAAGCTGAGCATACGAAGAATGAGGGGGAGGTGAGTTACAGACAAGAGGGACATGCTTTCTCATATCATACTCATCATCGATGTCACTACCGCCAACGAAATT